CAAGGGGTAACCTACAGGAATCGGTATTGTGCGCAATGTCATGGAGTGATGAATGAAGATATGGAGTATTATCAGTTAGACTTCACRTGTGACATCTCACCACCAAGAAGTTTCTCTAGAGATRAAGCGTTGGATTTTCTATTTAAGTATTGCTCAATCTTCCCTTTTATGCCTTCCTGGAGCCCCCAAAAAGGCCAGCCCATTCGAAAATGCTGGAAACCGATCACATGTTACTTCACAGGGACTTCAATCTTCGCGCAATGTGTCAAGCAGCCTCCTAGAWTAGTCTTTCATAGAAAAATCAAAGGAAACTTCAAGAACTGGCAATGCGCACARTGTTATTGGCCTACCTATATGAAGAATATAGAATGTGGTCCTGTTGCCACATCTCCCCCAAGWCCACCACCCCCACCCATACCATTTTCGATTATAATGGATACAAACAAGCAATCTCCAAATAAGAATTCTTATCAGGTGAAAAMGATTTTTTGCAAAAATCRCGACGARGTATATGACSCATACCTGGATTTCTGTCGACCTGTTRTTTCAAAGCTTGTACCAAGAGCAGTCGCCCGMCATTCTGACAAMTATCGTATCGCTGCATGGATCACAGTTAGTTCAACATCRAAAACAGCTTTGTCGGAACTCAACAAAACATCTGTCCTCACTATCTTTAGCAAGCCGTTTGGAATTAATGCAACCAACATTCAGATTCAGAAATGGGAATCAGTTTTTGGGAAAAAAGTTGAAGTTTTGATACTGGATTTGCAACTTCCATYCAAAGAAAAAARTAGTCGAGGACCAATAAGACAAGATTTGAGTCTTGGTTCACTTCTCAACTTCACTCAGCCAGTAGTGTTGCGATGGAAGCAGGAGTATTTCACCATCATCAAGGCAACAGTAAAACCCATCAATTGCATCGACATYAAACGCTACAGTGTTCAAGAGTATGCAGTATTACCCAATTCCAGCGTCTTTATAAATAGCTCTGGAGATGTTTTGAATTCAAGTCAGTACTACGCGAATCAAACSACAGTCCTCAATGACAATATTATTCCAGTTGGTGAAATAKCTGTTTGCATACAGGCAATAAATCCCTGTGTAAATGGTTCTAACATTGCATTGAAGAGGAATGAATACATAATGCTATCAAACCTRTCAGTGTATAGAAATGTGTCCAATACMGTTTACAACCAARATGAATACYACACAACAAGCAATGGAAGTGTGGTCGTGTGCAGTCATTTCTCAAACCAGTACACGAAGTTAGAGGAGAGCAAACCACAGAGAACTGGACACGATGTGGTTCTTGTAATGCTAACCTATATTGGGTTGTCATTATCCGTCATTTGTCTCGCTGTTACACTAGTAACGTACGCATTATTTGGCGAACTGAGAACCCTGCCAGGGATAAACTTGATGAATCTGTCATCAGCTCTGCTGGYTGCTCAWCTCTTTTGGCTGATTGGATCAGGTCTTGTTGCATCTCAYARAGCATGCGTAGCGATGGCAGTGATTCTTCACTTCGCGTTCCTTGCTTCCTTTATGTGGATGTCAATCATCGCTTTTAGCACATGGAGCGCRTTTTCATCAAGTGGTGGACCTATAGGTGCATCAAAAGACARGAAATACAGAAAGAAGAGAATTCAAAGATCACTTGTGATTGGCTGGCTTCCCGTYATCGTCTTTGTCGCTATCTGTATATCTCTTGACAAATCTAATGTCGTTTCAATCCAATATGGCGGCTCCAAAGGATGCTGGATCAACAACGGCATCGCTAATCTGTGCGTCTTTGTGATCCCTGTTGTTATAGCAATGCTCTGGAATGGAGTCTTCTTTGGTCTTACAGTTARATCTATCCACAAAGTAAGACAGCAAGCGAGGATGGCTACCGAACACCGTGAAAGCCAGACCAGCTACTCTGTGTACGTCAAGATTGCAGTGTTGATGGGTTTTACGTGGGTGTTTGGGGTGCTGGGTTCATTTGTCTCTGTTTAYTTGATGTATCCATTTGTAGTATTTTGCACCCTTCAAGGAGTGTACATCGCTTTCTCCTTCACMTTTACAAGTCGTGTTCTAGCTTTGTATAAGGCAAAACTCGCCTCTCRGAGAGCAATGGYCYMCATGAYGTCAATAACAAGTTTGGCTTCTGTTGGAAGGGGAAGAAGAAATACTTTTGACACTAAATTATGACAGTARAAACTTGCGCTTTCAGGCGTTCTGATCAAGTTACATAACACGGAAAATCGTCTTATATTTTAACGGTTAATCAACACTAAATCAAGGGAAATAATTAAAACCCGCGAGACAAACAGTATTGTATCCACATAACAATAGATTATCAATACAAGACTTTGAATATGAATAGAATAAAGTACAATGTTTTGCATGAATTTGTCAGAGTATAATCCAGTTTCGAATTCTCCAATGCTCTGCAGTGTTAGCCTCATTTGTGCGCAAAATATTTCTAATTGTGAGAATAAAAGTGTAAGATTTCAAATCAATTCTGTTGTCTTTCTTTTCAAATTCCATGTGTTTTCTRTCAACGAAACARAAGAATATGTTGCTTGGTTTTGAGGCTAACACAGAGGAAACAAGAACTCGGAATCGGGTATTGGACAAGTACGACGTTTAGATAGTAAATGATCTAATAAACGTCGGGGGCGTTTATTATATTTCAATGGTCCAAAGTGGGGCGACAGGAGGCGTTTATTAGAGGTGTTTACTCTAAAATAAATCTGTAACAATGTAATGTACCGCATGTTATGATTTATAACTTTTACTAATCTTTTACTAATGGTGGCACAGAGRGGAGGGGRGAGGYCATTTAATAGACAGGGGGYGTTTGTTAGAGAGGGGCGTGGAGAGGGKGTGGCTTTCATTAGATAGGAGGCGTTCATTAGAGTGGGCGTTTATTAGATCATTTACGGTATTGTAAAAAAGGACCACACCACACGAGTTACTATTATCACTTTTTATTTTGTCGTAGAAAAGTTATTCGCTTAAAGATATAATTGATGTAATCCAATTCACAAAGACATGGATGGCGATTATTAAAATTCCTCTTAACTTAAAAAAGTCATCATTCATTAAGAAACATAAATACACTCACCATTTAGTCTACGGTAACACAACATACCCAAAACCTATATAAACTGAACTATACTTATAAATATTATCCGCAAAAACCGCTATAAGTTTTTTTTTCAGAACTCAAATGCTACAAACAAAATTTGCACCGCCATATTGAAAAGTAACCACGCCCGGCATTAAAACGAGGCGAACAACACTGAGCATGTGCAAAAGCTATTTTCAAAATGGCTGGTTGTTCCTGTATTATATTTTAAAAAATGTGGTCATAATTTTAAAGTCATTTTATTTTCCAAAATAGTATTGCAAATTTTTTAATCTAATGCAGATTTCCATTCAATAGACTTAACATTAAAAGAAAAATATATTGGAAATACCCATTCTTTCATGCTTAGACACTCGAGGATACGCTGTGCACTTGGTTTATGCTGCACGCCTGAAGGAAAGTGCCGACTTTCGACTTTCGGTGGAGTAACCATGTACAAAAGAACGGCCAACTTCGATTTTCGCCTCAATAATCAACCGCCAAAGAATCAAAATGAGACGCTGAACATAAAGATCAGTCATTCGTGAAAAAAATGTCTTTTTACGAAAAAAATACTGTTGCGAAATTCATAAATCGGCTATTGCAGACGAGGCTTCGAGTGGGGAAAAGAGGATCTTAATTAATGTATTCATTTATTTCTCCGTAGTCTCGTATACAATTCTATTGTGCATGGCGACCAAAATATCTTTCGTCGGCTATTCGTACTTAACCTTTGAATCAAGACAACAGTGTCCAGTTTTAACTGGGTTTCTATGACAACAAATCTCCAAGACCGTGAGACAAACGCGAAAACTTTGAGAAAGCTAAATTACAAATAAAAAAGAATTGCATTGGAGTACTTCCTGTTATCATTAAAATGATTCTAGTTTCACTATTAAATCCATTTACTAATACAAGCTAAATCAGAGGTGAACTCTGGCTAAATTTCCAATTCATTAATCACGCGAGAAAAATACGTGAGATTTTACAAAATTTACAACAATAGATCACTTCATAGGATCAAAGAGCTATTTTAACTACGTTCTTTGGAGTAAGAAACATCTCTATAGAACCGCGAACATTAAGAATTAAATGTATGTACAATAGGATAGATTTGATATGATACCTGGGGTGGGCTCATTACCCTCTGTYCCCTCCCCCCTAAGTTMTATCATATTTCATCATCTACAGTTATTAGTTTTGGAAATAACTGGCAAGACGTCTCGCCTTTCAGGCCCACCGTTAATACAACGAGATAAGTTGTCGAATAGAAACATATATAAATTGCTAAAATCTATAATAGGATTAACTTAATCTGTGTGCATGTGATTATCTTTTATAAGTTTAAAATCAATTTGGTTAGAAAAGCTAACTTTGTATTAAAGGCTGCTCAAGGAGCGCAGGGACTGGGGCAGAATAGTTGAAGGATCTTCGTCCCCAGACCCCCACCTTCTTATAATTATTACGTGCTTGGCGACGTTTAACAATTTAAATTCGTGTCGAATCCAAAGCGTAGATTGCCTGGACATTATAACAAGTCTAAAATACTGCAAAACATTTGGATAAACAAAGGAAAAACTGGCTAAATAGAACTAGATACTAGATACACAATCATTACATATACCAAGAATTTCGATGAACGTGCTGGTGACGTTATCCAGTAAACGTGATGACGTCTTCTCTACACGTGTGACGTGGTGAGTCAACGACGTCATCTTCTCCATACAAAGGAGAGCAACCGTTGCGGTACGAGCCGATACTCCCGAAAGCACTGAAGTTACTTGGTCTTACGTCACGAGTCCCGTGATAACGACAACTCGTGGATCCACGAGGGATCAGGCTCGARTTGTAGCCYATTGGTCGAGTCGGCACAAGTCCATGGTTTTTGGCGTCTTCAAAAGCGATTTGCTGTGCTAACTTTCTGTCTTTTCTTTCTTGGTGTTCCTTGTTTTGCTTGGCAAGGAGTTTCATTCGCTCCTTATAAAGACGATCATGCTCGGACTCGGTCGTTCGTTTCATTTCGTCTTCTTCTTCGAAAGCTTGTGCTTCTAGTGCTATACGACGGTCGTTTTCTTCCTGTAAACGGAAACATGATTAATACTCCAATTGCGAGTTCTGGTTTGCTCTGTGTTAGCCTCAAAACCAAGAAACATATTCTTTTGTTTTATTGATAGCCCGAGAAAACATAACGCATGGAATTTGGAAAGAAAGAYAATAGAATTGGTTTGAAATCTAACACTTTTATTCTCACAGTTGGGAATACTTTGCGCACAAATGAGGCTGACACAGAGCATTGGAGAATTTGAAACTGGATTATTGCGAAAAAAGGATGGATTGCCGAGCGTTCATAGGTGAAATAAAGCACGCGGGGATTTCTGGAGAACATGAGAACATGACATCTTCTGCTGAAGTCCTTTTAAAAATATAGAGCCAATTTCGTAAAAATACAAAAACGTTTGACAGTGAATTTAAACGCTTATATTCTTATTCGCTATCTCAAATGTTTCATGTAAAACTATCTGTTGTCAAATACAACAGTGGCCATCTCTTTAGAAACGATGAGCAAATGCAGATGCAATGAAGACAATTTAGGGGATTACTAGACAGGTAAGATAGTCCATGCAACACAACAACGCATGCATACGTACGGGATAATTTCGCGCTTGTACACGCTCCACGYGCGGCGCTTCAAGCTAGCGCGCGCTGCACGCACTCAAAAGCGCAGACCTGTTCTCTTCGGACTTTGAGTCTTTCCTGTTCCTCGAGTTCTCTTCGCTGCCTGAGTAAACTTTCACCATTGTCAATACTCTTTGTCTCTAGGAGGGACTTGTTCTCTTCTTCTTGCAGGCGAAGAGCAAATAGTGCATCGGAAGAGATTTGATCCTGATCATGCCTAAGACAGTAAGGTAAACTCGTTAGAAATGGGATACCTGTGGAGACGCCAAACCAAAGAGACATGAAGTACCTTGAGAAGGTTGACCGGCGGTCAACAAGTGGCTGCTGCCATAGCTCCTTTATTGACTTGTTGACCTTTATTGAACAAACAAGACAAACCAGTTAGTCAAATATTGTTGCTTATTTTAATGACGGGCTACCTGTGCCTCCCCTAACAACGCAGGATAAGTACCTCATTGACCTCATTGGTTGTCGACCACCTATAGGTCTCGAGAATCTTGTCACCATCACCGCCAATTTGCCAAATAACGGGACTATCTTGTCGAGGAGATAGACTAGAAGACGATGCCTGGCTAGCTGTGGGGGAGCGACTTAACGGAGAACCGCTACTCACGCCGCTGCTTGTGTTGGACATGGTGGTGTCTTTACGTCGTGCACGAAACCACTCTTGATCAAGATGGTCGGACTCCTCGCTAAGGTCACTCGTTCTTGGAGAGTCTTGAAGCTGTGGAAATAAAGAGGTATAAACCTTTAAATCGAACCCTCTAGGTAACGGCCCTCTAAGTACCGTTCACCCTTTGCTACGTGGTCACTAGATTCTCACATATATTCATAGTATATTTACTGTTAACATGACCTTTATTTAACGGCCATCGAAGTACCGTTCACCCTTTACTACGTGGTCACTAGATTCTCACATATATTCATAGTATATTTACTGTTAACATGAACTTTATTTAACGGCCCTCTAAATACCGTTCACCCTTCACGTGCTCACTCGATTCTTACACTAAATTTACTGTAAACGTGACCTCAATTTAACGGTCACCTTGGGGAAAGATACCAGGTGACCGCTAAATTGTGGTTGTTAATAAAATTAAATAGAGGTAGCGTTTTCAGTAAATTTAGAAATAAATAGAGATTCGACCGTATAAGTTTACACCACACTATGGACTATCACAGCTTTCTGATTGCCTACTAAACTATGGTATATTCATGTTGATCACATCAAGTGAAGAGAAAATAGTCGGAGAAATGTCGAAAAAAGTTTCTATTTTTTGTTGTTGTTGTTACATTTGTCCTTCATCTCTCGTGGCTACAAGTCGACTCGTAGTCAAGCAGTTTGTCTATGTTATTTTGTTAAATTTTTCCTATAGCTTGGTGGATACTAAAAAAATTAGAGCACTCGGTCTCCTGGCTACAAGTTGACTCGCAGTCCACTCGACCTAGTGGTCTAACTGTAAATAGACTAGCTCCCACTGGAAAAAAATCGCACACAGATTGTAAATATGATGTAAGTGTCCGAAATTTACATCATTTGCAGTGCATGACTGTGGGTCCCAAGTCGCTTTCCGTTCAATCTATTTGTCACTCAATGTCCGACTTATTCACTGCGCAATGTCGTTTCAAGTTGCTGCGATGCGTTCTGAATTCTACTTCCTGTAACCTTACGCAACGAAAAAAGTTACGAGACGACCTCTGTTACACTGCGCAATTTAATTCTCCAAGTGATTGACGTGCGAGATAACCTATTGAAAACATTGCACAATGCAACAAAATAATATCTTTTTTATGATAATTTAAAATACCAGGAAATCTCTTGCGCGAAAAAGTGATATCTTTCATGTGTGAAATAATTTCCGATCCGACATCACTGAAGCTAACTACCTAGTGTCTGACATTCCAATTTTGAAAATTTCAATAATAATAATAATAATAATAAAAAAATTGAAAAAACCAAAACAGGCAATTACTTGTTATTAGATATAGTTTTTATTGTGAGTGTAACTAATGTATAGTTAGTATAATAACTGGTATTTTTATAATCCTGAATGAGACTACTGTATATAAATAAAGTTATATTCTTCCTATAGAYCTCTGCAGCTTTTACGTCATGTACCGTATAAGCAATGCATTGTAGGATATGTTTGGGACAAAACATGGCGGATTCCTTTTGTTTTCTCTTGAAACTGATCCTACAATGCATTGAAAATCAAGTAGTACGTAAAAGGTTCAGAAGTCTATTATTAGAGTATCACTTTAGCGTAAATGGACTTTGTCCTTCTTCTTCTTCCGATTCACACGAGGACAATGCGTGTACCCCCAGGTAAAAAATAAACGTTTGTGTACTCATTTCGTGTGTCCCTTTTAAAAGTATTAACAGAAGTGGACTTTGTTCTTCCGTTTTCCGGCTCCCATGCCAAACATGCGTGTGGTTCTCATGTGGACCCATGCATGGACTCCCGTGAGTGACTGGATCTAGTCTACGTGAAGCTATTTTGTCACTAATGTAAAACTACTTTTACAAATATTCCAACGTCTATTCAAATCTTTCACTCCTAGAAGTCTAATCAACAAGAAAGCTTTCTTTTGTGAGTTCTAAGGCAAGATCTGGAGTTGTTGCTGTATTTACTAAACTTCAATTGGTAGGTTTGCACAAGTTCAAGTTTAAGGGCATTTCAAGGACTTTCAAGGCTCAATTCTCTAAAATTCAATGCTTAAATTTGGAAAGTAGGGAAGTAACTAGTTAAGGGAGTGTGGATTTTAATACACGAATAAGGTTTTTTGATCCAATTCAAAAGGTTACCGAAAAAATGCATCTAAGCCGCAAAAATCATTAAAATACATTTTYAATTATTACCACTTGTTGCGTTTTACCTTGCTATTCCTAGAAACGATTAAATCCCCTTTCAAAATAGGCTAGTAAATTATTTTGCTTCTTAAACCTTGATACTATGTCATAGAGCGATATTTATGCATAAAAAATATGGTAACTGATAACACTGGGCAGTTTTTTCACTGTTTTAGTAAATTTCTAATAACGTCTCTTCAAAGCCCTTTTTTATTTCTAATTATGGAAAAATGTTTATCGTAACCACAATCTAAATCGACTAGTCTTCTCGATTTCAAGACTTTTAWAGCTTGTATTTTATCTTATAAGTACTTTTTTTCGTTGAAAATAGTTGTAAATAAGTTTTATATAGTTAAATAATCTTTCTTTTGATTGATACGAAGGTTTATTCATCCATACATTGAGACTTAGATAGTAGGAACACTACGAAAACCGTGTGAATTTATAGTGCGTCTTTTCCTGAGTGAATATCGATTTTTGTTACGTAAAAACTTCAAGCACGAGGTCTCAAAATCAAGTAGTTTCAAGTACTTGAAGTGACATTTTAAAATTCAAGCACTTAGTTTAAGGACTTCAACAAAAGCTAGCACGAACCCTGACAAGCCTCGTTTCCACTTAATTTGGTGGAAAAGGTTGCAAGTTTGTGCGACAAACCCAAAATCCGTGGAGCGAAAACTACGACTTATGGAATCAGTTTGAAACTCTCAGTTAACATCATGTCATTCAGAGCGTGGTCATGGTGATTTAAAATCAATCTTTTATTATATATTTGTGGTAAACTCATGCTGTTATATTCTAATGGTGTGCATGCAGGAATGACTTATGTAACAGTGACCTGCGAAACAGACACTTGTAAACGCAACGTAACAGTTACGTAACACTAACTTCCGTAAAGGAATTTTTTTCATGTGCTAGCCGTGCCAATTAATCTCCTTTGCCAATTTTCAGTTAGCTTTCATATGCAAGTGTAAGGTTGATTTGAAGACAAAGCACTATTGTATTTATGATAAAAAATTGTATAGGATATCGGTCATGTGATCAATCGTTGGAAGACGATATAATCGGAACATCAAACAAATTCTTGGATGGCCAAAAAGATTCAAATATTACACAACCAAAAAAGAAAACACAACACAAAATTTGAATCATATCAACAATTGTTTGAATCTATGATAAAAAAATCTTTTAAGATATCGATCACGTGATTGATCTTCGTTGGAGGGTGATTCAATCGGATCATCAAACAAATTCTTGGATGGCCAAAAGGATTCAATATCAACACATCAAAAAAGAACACAACACAAAAGTTCCATCATATCAACAATCGCATTGTTGATTTATAATAAAAAACCTTATAAGATATCGATCACGTTTTTGATCTTCGTTTCAGTGCGATCCAATCGGATCATCAAAAAATGTCCATAAAGCGCCAATACCATACATCCAAAAAGGATACAATAGAGATGTTCAATTCCATTGATAAGCTTCAAACTCAACAATACCAGTTCATGTTCATTACAACAACCCGACACCTCCAAACAAGGTGTCTAAAAGGGGAAATGCTGGGTTACCCAAAAATACCAGATAAAGTTCGAAAAAATTACGTTAAACTAACAATCAATTGTTTTGATATGGCTTATGATACTTACCTCTCTATCATCTGGAATATAAGGACGTCTTGTACGATAAACTTCACCGATCCTACCGTTCATGTTCGCCATTCCGTTCATCTCAACAATGTACTCAGGTCTTGGCTCATACATGGCAGGTTGGCAAACGTAATCAAATCCACAAGCATCAGGACGATTTGTCATGGGTACATGATAGGGGTCGTGGAAATGGGGGTGCCTGAATTGAGGGGGGTAGCCATTGGATCTGGTGGACCAAAAATCAAAAATTAGAGTGTGAATGCGCGACCGGAAAGAATACACGATTTTACAATTCCAATCGCCATCTTGAAAGGTAGCCGAGCCTTTTCATCAAATTGAGACACGGTTGAGCTTGCAATGAAAAACACCTGTGAAAAATTGGCTAAGGTGTGAACACAAGGTATCTATCACTGCAGGCTCAACTCCTGTCTCGCTTCATGAAGTTGGGAACACGCTGTAGTCTATGATCTAATCGCACTTACGGAAAGTAGGCGTCGTACCCGCCATAGCCTGGTTCAAAGACGTATCCTTGGGTCCTACGGCGCGGATTTGGATCAAACTGACGGCCATGTGCCAGCCTACGTCCCATKCCATTTTCTACATGCCCATTGGTCATGCCATTCTCACGTGACCCGTTCATGTCATCCTGTATCGTCAATGGGGAACTGCTTGGTGGGGTGATAATTCCTGGAGGCCCTGCAACTGGATCTAAAATGTTAATTTCTTCCCTTCGGTGCTGTATAAAAGCGGTTGTACGTAGCGTGCGTAGCGGATCTAGGGGAGGGGGGCSGGGGAAGAGTGGAAAAACCAAGAGGCTCTTGATTTAACCCTCCTCCCCCTCCTCCCCTCCCGTTCCGTTTCCCCCCTTCCCCCATCCCCTAGACCCGCTAYGCAGGCTATGTTTAACGTGAACATGCATGCGATTCAACAAACTTAGACCCTCTTTACATGGGATAGACTGCACTTAGACAGTAAGGCGAAACTCTTTTGTTTTTTGTTTTTTCCTTGGAAGATTTAAAACAAAGGATTTTATCCCTACCATCTAGKGACACCTTATCTCATGTAAACAAGGACTTAAAGCCCAACGTACCTCCTTTCATGTCCCTAGGGACCATAGCTGGTGTGAACCCATTGGTAGTAGGATAATAGTACCCATTGGCTCTTTCACCATTGGTTGGATATGACATACGGCCATCGTAGGGCCCTGGAGAAGAGTAACCTGGTGGACTGTGKAGATTCATTTGTTTGATTCTCTGTGGCATGGTTTGATCTTGGTTCACTCTTCGGTACTGCGTCTGTGGTTGTCCATATGAATTCACCGGTGCCAACTCACCTAAACATATAAAAAAATATACATTAATACAATATTGTACTGACGATGACTCTCTCTCCTTTAAAGCGCCTATGAAGCCTCACGAAAAAATTGCTGCTCCTCTGTGAACTGATTCTATATAAAGTAAATAATTGAATGGCGAAATATTCCTGCATTTTAGTGTTGAGTCTTTGAGTTTTTGAGCTTCATTAGATACACGAACTTTGAAACATTCGCTCAAAAATGATTTCATAAACGCTGTCTGGGAATATGGGTATTYCCTACATTGCCTAAGAATTTAACGAATTGCAATGAACGGCCATTTCCGWGACCTATGAAGTCCACACGGAAAATTACGACAAATATCATAACCAAAACTATCAAACTGYCCAATGCTCTTACATGGAGAAGACCGAGCAGATCCGTTCATGTGTTGAGACTGTGGGCTYCCTGTGTTGGCTGTTTGGTCCAGTCCATTYTCCATTGAGGAATAAGAGATATCTGAGGACATTGATGAAGGTCCCCTTGCTACAATGCCTCCTTTTCCCTTGTTTGGCTTTCTTCTACCGAATCTGCCAAATAAAAGCAACGAGTTACAACTCTGATTGTGGTCTGGTAGCTCTTAATAAGAAACTTGCGRTTTGACGAGTACGAGTGCGARTACGAGTTTTCAACACGTTCGCTGACACTGRATTTCAGTCTACTTATTGTTTTAATATTTTTGTTATTTTTCTTTATCTATTGACAATACAAGACAATAACGCACACATATAAGGTCAGGTTTATGACTCGTACTCAAATATCTGACTCGCTCAGTCCCCAATAGTATCTAACTTACTTTTCGAGTTCTTCTTCCGAGTGAGCAAAAGAGCAAGATGATCCTCTAGGGCAGCCTCCAGGTTTCTGATAGTCCCTACACATGCTGGTCTTGTACTTGCTATGGTTGTGATTGGGCTAAGGTAAACGAGTAGCAACCATGTTAGATAACGGTACTATTCACTGACCATATGCCTGATAATTTGAGGCCGCAGGTGATGTAATGTTTATTTTTAGCACACTTGTGTAAATTCTCGTGCGCTGATTGGTTGATTAATGTATGGCAAGAAGAGWATATACGCCTCGCGCGCTCAGTTGAAAGAAAATAATGGTTTTCACTAATTAACGTCCGACGGCACGGATTTATAATATTGCAACTGTGTTTTTTCCGACTTTAAATGTATATTCTCTTATTGACACACTCTTGGCGCCATAAAATGTTCAAAACATTTGCAGTCCGGTTTGCAATTTAAACTTCTTTTTTGACGGTTTTATGACGTCAAGAGTGTTAATACGAGGGCATATAACTCAAAACCTTGAGGAATTTGCTCACTATATTTCTCTCCTCACAGTATTTCATGTTTTTTCGATCTTACAAATGATGTAAGATAAGATGACCTTCCACAACCTCCTATTAATCCTTCTACTGGAGCAGAAAGTCCCCATCTGTTTTCTAACAACCAATCACTTAACCTCTCGCTGATTTAATAATATAATCCAACCATTAGCAAAACTACAAGCAACTTACCTGAGGTTGGTCCACAGTTCCTTTCATTTTAGTTCCATAAACCTAAAGAATTATAATCCTTAGATTACTTGTTGTTCTTGTCTCTTTTTAGGGGAATTTATGAAGAGAAACACSAAGTGTTGAGGGTGAGGGAATGGGAGAAAGTACTGTGGGAGGGAGGGTGAGTTTCCATTTTCATGGATTATTTTCTTTGATTACTAAATCTGCTRAAGACATTTTTCTTTTTTTCCCTTTCTTTCTCCTTTGCATTTCTATTATTATTACTTTTTTGCAAACACTCTGAGCTCATGGGGGGATAGAACCCAAAGGCACCAAACCGTCTTGATTTTAACCTCTGCCCAATAATATTCAATAAGTACCATTTAATCAACCTAATTRCTTCATGGTGTTATAATGTGACAGACCTTTCATGTATAGTACAGGSTCCGTGCAGAGTATCAAAAATGAAATTTAAGGACTTCTCAAGGACCAAAATTGTATTTCCAAGGAACATCATAATCATGCTACTGTAATTGTGAATTCTTACCTCACAACTTCAGCTGAAGGGAATAATTCAGATCGCTAGCGCTTCGTGATAGAGATCTATCTTTTTCAAGGGGTTTTCAAGGAGTTTTTCGAAATTTTCACATTTTCAAGGAGTTTCAAGTGCCCTTGAAAACGAGTTTTCAATTCAAGCACTTTTCAATTATTTAAGGACCTTCACAGACCCTGATGGCAGCCATCTTAAGCCATTAGTTGATCTTTTACATACATAAAATCCTTTTATTTTAGAATAACATACCCTTGAAAAGTTCACAAGTCCACTAACAACAGCGTGAACAGCATTCATCGCTTCCTCAAGCTCATCCCATTCTGGAGCTTTGGCTTCTGTAAACAACAACAAATGTGTTAGAGTGAGAACCTTGAAATTGATGTTACAATATCACACTTAGTTGGCACTAATCATACATTACATATTTTTTTTCACTTTCACCATTTTTTTTAACTATTAAGTTCAATGCCCTTATTCTAGTTCTCTTATTAGACAATATTTATAAGTAATAGCATGGCTCTGAGGGAGATTAGGGATTAAATGTTCCCGAAGTCGAGGGCAGATAAGTTGAAGACTTTTACTTGAACTGCCCGAGGCTGAGGGACATTTAATCCCTAATCTCCCGAGGAAGCCATGCTATTACTTTGTAATACCATGATTTCCGAGGAAAAAAATGAAGTTGAACTTGAGCGAATTTGAATTCTTGTTTTTTTTGCATGCTCCAATATTTTTAATCAGAAGTAATATAAACATTGCAACAAACGCCTGATTAATGCATTATCTGGAATGTGACATGAACAAGAATGCGTACGGATTGTTCTAAGAGTACCAAGTACTATATTGTGTGATTGAAACGGTTTTCACAGAACAAAAGTACAAAACGATATTGTTAATCCAACCATTGTTACTGATTTCCCACAACAAACTTTCAAACAACTGCTTTTCAGTTCTATTCAATGCTGAAGTTAACTAACGAACCTTAACTTCAACCGCGAAAAGTTGTTTTTATATTTGCAAGTATAATGCCAAGAAGCCTATCAACTATTATCAAACATTGAAATTCGTCAAGTGCACATGCTCAGCGGTACAAAGTAGAGACTTGGAACCAGAGCTACTCAGTCAATTTTGCCCAAATATCATCCCACATTTCAGTGTCTGAAATAATCTTCCATTATGTTATAATGCAAACGGCCTATTACTAGTAATCGTCCCCCATGCTATTCATGAGGGAGGGATGTTCGCTTGCGAACATTCCCTCGGAAGACAAATGAATCCGAGGTGATCATGGTATTACAACGTGGTAACACCTAATTGTAAAACATATTGCCTGTAAGAGGTTAATGCCATAAGGGAGGGCAAGACTTTACATATGCAGTATAATCAACAATTTTTTACCTGGAGAGGCATCAATGTTTGACAGAAGCTCAAAGTGAGGTCTTAGTTTGATGAGTTCACCAGGGTCATTGGATCGTTGTAGAGCAAAGATTAGTTCCACTATACTCTGGGAGAAAGACTGTGGTGTCTGGAGCTTGTCTATGATTGACTGCATGTGCGACTTGTGGTCTNCTAAGAATCTACATTTTCCCCGAGTTGAGGCTAACCCTGCTCATACCTTAGGTCTTATGGGAATATAGGGATAATCTCAACTCGGGGAAAATGCAAATTTTCAAGTCTATTGTTATAACGACATTTTCTCGTGCTCTCTTTTGTGTTTGTAAGGTCTTTGCGCAAGAGAATCTGTTGTCAAATAAGCAGCGGTTATTCGCTATGAATTCGAAACTGGAGTATTGGGTGGAAACGTTTATAGCCGATTAGCTCCATATTATGCGGGATATGGAGCATATGAGGTCTTGGATGGATGATAATTTGATAAGCTAATGCTGATTTCCATTTGGAGAATATGTTCAGCAGTTGACACAGTAAATAGCAAACCTAAATGGACTGCGCATGCGTGTTGGTGTTAGTACACTACATCAGTCCAATGACTGTTGCTAATTTTAGACGAGAACATGTACATGTTGACCCATTTCAGTATAAGATGGGTAAAAGCGTGTCTCCGACCCTATTCAGGGACCTATTTTCCTAATGACGTATAGGAAATACTTAAAACTAATGATTATTGATTTTATAAACACTAGTTCATAGTGATATTACCACTAACATCGACTTTTGTAACCAATGTTTTTACTCTTAGGGATACCACCTATACATCTTAGTAAGATTCAAGTAATGCAAAATAGTGAAGATGTCGACGTAAATCGTGGCATGCTTTTCTTGAGAAGTTTTCCACTTCAATAAGCATTTTGGGCCAAAAAAATCACAGAATCTTATACCGTTGATTTTTCAGTTTCCTATTAACGTTCTAGTTAATTTGAGACGTTGCCTCCCCTCTTTAAACACTTAAAATTAGACTTTGCACACTCCTGATAAATATTACGCCGTCACTTATAACAACGTACTCATGATGTTGGACCAGAAGAGACCGTTCCGGCAGTGAAAACGTATTGCGTGTTTTGCCTTTTTATCTTTTCTTTATTTTGACGTTTTTAGCCTGCGTAGAGAGGGGAGGAGACTTCTTACGCTCCTCCCTCGCCCTCGCCCTACCCCTCCGTTTTCACCCCCCCCACCCCTTCCCTAGAGCCGCTACACAGGATCTGCTTAATTAACTCTACTGCTCGACTCACATTCACGCTCATCTGTCTACAAATGCTTATTATAAGCTGTTTATACGTTTGACAAAGTTAAAAGAAACGCAAAATATAAATATTAGTTATAAACGATGACAAATTATGAAATGTCTTAGTAATGACGGGAATTCCCCCACGTGGGACGACTTTGGCTCAATCTATAAATGTCGATCACATGACTTAATCAAAAGTGCGTGTAATAAACTTGAACTAAACTCATTGTTCATACAAATACGATTATAATGATGTTTGGGCATTTTCTAAGTTATTCCGTAGATTGTTAGCAATTCTAATTCCCTCTTACAAAAGCGTGATTCCTGAGCATTGAAACTTGCTGGTATATAAAGCTTACTAAAAGCTCTTCCTGGTAATTAATTTAAGATTACTGGTACATGACTTGGCATATTTTAATTTCTAGACCAAACTCTAAAACTATTAGGCGCTAATCACTTCAAAATTGCTGACGCATCTATCATTATATTATTAATTGTATTAATATTTTTATTAATTTCAAAGAAATGGCAAGGGAGACCTTAGACTAAGATTTTAAGGTTAAAATATTAGATACTTTATAACTAATAAAAAAAACTAAAAATTCGTTATAATTCATGAGTTACGATTCCATTTAGGGCTTTCAGAGAAGTTAATCAACAGTTATTTATTTGTCGTTTTTTTTTGGAATACAATCTCGAGCCATGAATCCCACGTCTATAGCAGGAAATTATTCACTCACTCACTCAACGTTGCAAGATTCTTTTTGCGCGCACTCTTGTTCTCCAGGCTTTTGTTGTTGTTCTCAGTTAAAGAGAAGTGTGCATCATATTTAACTAAATTATAACATGCACCCCCCCAATTATCATTTACAAATCATCCCTGATTCAAGATTGTAACTGAATAGATTTAGTCAAGTCTGATCAGAGAGGGATGTATTCAAGGAAAAAAGGGGCGTATTGGGTTAAATAAATAATTGTATTATTTTCCCCCTAAAACTGATGAATGTTTGATTAATAATAATGCCTCCATGCATTTCTACAAAAAATCCAAATTCCTTCTTATTTGTGGACAAAAATCGTGCGAGCAAAAAACCTCTGAAGATTTTACGTAAAATATATCGTATACGCAATGCATTGTAGGATATATTTGGGACAACTATGGTAGATTTCCTTTAGAAACCAATCCCATAATGCATTGCCAAACAAAACATTTTAGCCGATGAAAAAACTTCAGATGTATTTACTTGTAAATAGACAATAATATATTTCGATTGACAGCCTGTAGAATCATCATGTTAGAAGGCATCGTATGATTATTTATTCTTGAACGATTGATCGTTATATGATTGTACATGCACCATCATCATTATGTATTGACAACTAGCAAAAACCTYATGACTTTCAACATTATTCAACTTACGTAAAGGCTTGACAGCACTGACGTCAGCTCAACCTACGCATACATAATTCATCTTTGCCGATTTCTGTTCGACTTGACTTGCTAAATCTTCTTTAATATATCGGTAAAATCTATTTTTTTTTGTCTTCGTTAGACGTATTGTTGTGTTCGCGATGAGAACACAAATTATAAAAGCTATATGTAGTAATAATAGTTTGTGATTATAACAAGGTATTTTTATGCATATTATAAGAACCTGTCGGTCTGTTTCCGACTGTAACAGGAACATTCTACGTAGCTAGCAGCGAAGGAAAACAATTCAGGTCAGTCATKGAGCTTGAGCTCAAACAATACTGTTTTGTCWTCTAGTGAAAGTTACACAGAGCATGGTGCATCAACATAAAGGACTTAGAAAGGTTTGCATTGCTACCGTTATAGGTAAATATTGTTTGCAAAATGCATGCTATTTGCCCAGATTTTTCAGCTCGGTATGTWCTGTTTCCGCATTCGTTACGCACCTTTGCTTATGGAATCGCAAAACACTGGATCGAAACTAACGAACGAAACTGCATAGTAAGAAGATTGCTGGTAAGAGTAACATCAATAATAATCAATATCAACAAAACAGATTATAATTATACAGCGTTTTGCTATCTTCCAATAATATCTAGTATACATATGTAAGGTACACTGCATTGTGGGTAATACTCATTGAAAATCGATCTAAAACTCACACACACTCACAATATTATTAGATAATGTTATGAGCGTATGTATAAAGAAATTATGGAAAAAATTATGCAAAAAGAAAAAAGAAAAAGACAAGAAACAGTCTAGTGTCCAGACCTAATTCTAAAGCTTACATTCCTAGAGTCAACGCACTTGTACCGTTGACTCTAGTCATAAGGAATGTTCGCGCGGAGATAAGAATTTTATCTTCGAGTGTTAAATTTATCTTCGAGAGGATAAAATCCGTTCTCCAAGAGACTATATAATATTCTCTTTATCATAGAATTATTAATGAAATCAAATTGTATCTTTTCCCTTCCTGGTATAAAATTTCGATTTTAGAGGGTCCAACCTTGCGTATCAATATAAATAGGGCAAACAAAGGCGTATCTAAACTTCATGTGCGAACCTTCTAAGAATTGAAAAATTTTAAGCCAGAAAGGTAAGACCTAGAGACGATATATAGCTATTTAACAAAAGGTTGTCGGATAAAATGGCGAATAGTGTAAATTGTCGAAGGGCGATTGCAAGACCGAAAGTAGCCATGGGTTTTGCTAGCTGAAAGGCAATAACAACTGATTTGTACTGTTATAAGATGGTATGTGGTAAACATTGGCTCCATTTAGTTTCCATTTCTATGTAAGGTGAATCCAATAAGTGAAATTTTGTTTATCAAAACGCACAGTGTAACTATAGTCCCTTTCGGTCGTGCAATCTCTCTTCGACAATCGCCGTTTGTCGTTCTCCCCGACAACGTTTTTTGAAATAGCTGTATTTATCAATACAAATTTATGTGACATACCTTTGTACTTATTTTTTGAGCCTTGACCTGTGGTTACTCTGCTTTATAATTTATAAAAGTGYTACTTGCATGAAAATGGTCYTATTTCAAAACTTCAAGCAATACAAATATATGACTCATTTATATTTATTAAAAACAATTGCGGGAAAATATTTGTTTTGAAATTATCCCACGTCAGAGAAATTTTGATTCAAAAGATGGAAGAACAAAAKGATGGAGTAAATGACGTCATCTAYTCYAACATTTTTTGCCCAAATTATTAAGRATTTATATCAACATCTTGAAATCTGTTSCTTCATRATTATTAGACCCATATGGATAGTTCTATTTGATTTCCAAGTCTTTTCTAATGTTTCACAATTTTCGTCCAAATAGCCGTTTAAGAAATATAAAACGGCGCGCGTGTCTCTGTCCTCTGATATAAACACGGTGKGAGTTGAAAAACACGAGAAAAGCAAGCTTAGAAACATGAGCGTAGCGATTCTTTTTCTTGCTTCTCGAGTGTTTTTCAACTCCCACCGTGTTTATATCAGAGGACTGAGACACAAGCGGCCGTTTTATATTTATTTTATAAACTTTTCTGCGTTTTCAGTCGAGCGAAAAACATGAATTTTGCCGGTAAGCCGTGTCTCTGTCCTCTGATATAAACACGGTCGTCAGCCAATCAGAGCGCGTGGTATATATCAAAAATTTTATAAAATTATCTATGAAATACCTATATTGGTATAGGTACTACTGCATGTCACTGAAGTGCGATTTGGATGATAAATACCACGCGTGATATTTCAAAATTGAAATATTACAAGTAAAACTTGTGCAATTTGAAATACCATTATTAAGGATAAATACCAATCCTCTAAGCCAATCAAATTGTAAAATTTGATTTTTTCAGCGG